TGTGTGGCGCTTACTTCGTCAGGAGACGACCTTAAATCTCTTCCCACTCACTGGCATGCCCGTGTCCCCAAGGATGCTTTCTCTCCTGGCATTTACTTACCTACGGGATACCCACCCCCCCCCCAAAGAACTGAAGCAAATTGTGAGGTCTAGGGTCCATATGTACCGGCATGGTCTCTGTGCCCTAATGACCTCATTTTCCACACCCGCACATCAAGGCCCATCACAGACTAGTCACACTCCCAGAGCCCTTGTGACCAACTGGTTTTTATATGTCTTGGGGAGTTTTCCCAGTGAGTTAATATTTGCTGAGTTCCTGCAGGCAGAAATACTATTGAGCAAAGGACAAACAGTCAATATTTATTAGCCATCGCCAGGTGCACAGTCTTCCGCCAGCTGTTGTAGAAGATACGGAAAGGACCTGGTGGAGCTGTTGAGAAAATGCTGGTTGTGGAGGGGCAACTCAAATTCCCACCCCAGGCAGCAAGGCCACCCACAGAGTCCCCGGTCCTTGGTGGCTTGACGTATTGGGAAGGATGGAGGGGCCACATTTCCCAACATGCGCAGTGGGTTGAAAGGGAAGAACATGGCTCTGTGGTCTTGGAACTAGCATATCACTTCATCTGGCAGAGGCAAAATGGCTCTGAGCTGGCTCTGCTGAGCAGAAGGGGTGTGAGGGACAAGAGAAGGAAAGTAACAGGAGATGCTGCTAAGGCACGGAACATGGGACGGTATGGAGAGCTAAGACCCAGGCTGAGTCAAGACGCAGAAGTTAGGGCCTGTGTATCTCACCTTTGTTTAGTGAAGTGATGCTCCTGTATGCCCTGGTGCTGCTACTGGGGATGATGGATGTCAATGACCAAGTTGGGCTTCCTCTTACATTCTAGGAATCATTGGTGTGATAGGAACTAGATATGACTAGTCACTGGATACATTTGTCATACAGGCTCACTTAGAAAATGATATTAAAAAAAAAAGTTGTCCTAGGGGTTTTAGAACCTGAAAATTTCCCCCTTTTTGTGGTTCTAAAACTATATCGAGTCATTCTATTATATTGTCCTTTTATATGTGAATTGTATTGCTATAATTAAATTATGTTGTGAAAGAAGGAGGAGAAAAGGAAGAATAGGAAGAGGAAGATGATGACCGTGATGACTGACGGGAGAAAGACAGGGAAAAAAATCTCATTGGATGATAATATCGTAACTTAATTATTCACAGAATGATGTGGGGTGCTCTGTATGCTGTGAATATGTTTTATTACCATTGATTAACAAAGAAGCTTCTTTGAGCCCATGGCAGTGCAGAATAGAGCAAGGCAGGAATTCCAAGCAGAGATAGAGGAGAAAAGAAGGCAGAGTCAGGGAGATGCCCAGGAACCACTGAAGGAGACAGACGCTGGATGGTAGATAGGCCACGGCCACACGGCAATACACAAATTAATATTAATGGGTTACTTTAAGATGTAAGAGTTCCTTAATAAAAAGCTTAAGCTAATGGGTCAAGCAGTGTTGTAATTAATATAGTTTCTGTGTAATTATTTTGGGTCTGGGTGGCCAGAAAACAAATGAGCAGCCTCCACTTAAAAAATGGCTCCCAAAGTGGGGCATGAATCCACATAAGACCTAAAAAAAAAAAAAATTTAAAACTATAGAGGGCTTCTAGACCCCAAAAATAGGAACCCAACACTTTCTTGGTAGCCATATTTTTTTTTCAGAATTTTTTTTTCTTTTTTGCTGCTGGTGAGTAGAGGTGCTGCAGTCCTTTAAGAGAGGTCTTCCTGACTCAGCATTGGCAGCAAAGATTGCACAGCTTCTTTAGGGGAGGGCTTCCTGGTTCGTGCTAGTTGCACAAACAGCTCTGGCTCTTTAAGGAGGCAGAGCACTTACACGAGGTCTGTGAGCAGTGTGTTACAAACTGTTTAATGGGAACATAGACCGACTGATTAACAGAACCCCAATGAGCAGGAAGTAGTTTAGAGAACAATGCCTAAATTCCCTAAATGATTGTTTATCAATGTTTGTTTACATTTAAAGGGGGATATGCTATAGAGATGAATACTTTGCATTGGTATGGATCTTGGTTTACTGATACAAATTTAAGGTCGATTTTGTTATATGTATATTTCTGCTTTTGATCAAGGTATTGTGTTTGTGCAACTCATTTAAAAATGTAATGTATAATTAAAAATACAGGTTAATAGATGGTCATCTATAACAATCAAGCTTGTAGTCATGTTAGTTAGGTTTTCTAGATATACAGAGCTATATTTCAGATGGTTAGATAGTCTTCAAATATTTCAAGGGTGCACAAAATATGGCATTTGAATGTTTTAAAAATTTAAGACTTTTTATGACAGTGACACCTGTCTGCTTCTGGCAGCACCAATTACTTCAGAGAGGTTGATGGGCATTGAAAAAAAATTATTATGAAGTTTGCCTTCAATGTGACAAGGCCAGCCATTTGGGTAAGAAATTGCTCTTACCTGGACTGCTGTATGAACTAGACTTGCAGGACCCACAGAAAAATGACTGCTCAAGTTGCCTAAAGAAGGTGAGACAGTCCTTCAGGGTTCCTGCTTCATGAAAGAGTCTGCCAGACATTCTGCAGGTCACAGAAGAAAGTGACTGACAAGCTGTCAATATAAGCAGAACTGTCTTTGAAATCTCCTGCTTCATGAAAAAGTCTGCCAGACACTATGGGCCTGTAGGCTGAAGTTGGGTGCCCACAATATAACTAAGAATTTTGGGTGACTGTCCAGGCAACAAGATATCTCTGTCAATTCTAGAGTTTTAAAAGTTGTTTACAATGTACTTCCTGTTTACTTAGGTAATATTATATCCTACTGGAGTCTTTAATGGAGTTTTAAAAAGATAGTTATAATTATAAAAAATAAATTAAATATAAAACTTTAGACTCACAAAGACAGGATAAATGGTAAAGAATTTTACTTAATTTGCCAAATGTAAATGGACTAAATATTGGAACTAATTCTTGCTTAATAACTTGATTCCATATAGTCAGATAAAACGTAATGGTGGTGGGCTGTGTGGAAGAGCCACACCGTGGACAGGAGACCAGTACACCACTGTCATTATCATGGTTATGGCCACCCTGTGTAGCAAACTCCACACAGACTTAACACTAGGGACAGTTAGACTTGCCTCACCGTGCTGGTCAAGGCCCTCTCTTCCCGCCACAGTGACCTCCTTCCATGGGCAAAGCTTTGGCCTCTGTTGTCCTTGAGTTCTCTCCCTAGCATCATCTAATGGTGCTCCTGGCTCACCTCCCTAGTGACCCACAAGACAGAGGGTAGCCTTTGCAGGGGGTACAGTGAACAGAAGAAATACACTTGGCTAATAAACATTGATGCCTGGCCCAAAGCACACACATCAGAAGTGTGTGCCCCTGTGGTACTGTTGAGGCAGACATTAGCTATCAGCGATTGCCTGTCTGGGCAGCCGTGGGGCTCCTGGGGATTAGAACGTAGTCTCCAAGGCTGTGCAGTTGCCTGCCGTTCTGTCTTAACAGCCCCTGGCAAAGCAGCAGCAGGCAGGATCCTGGACTGGCTCCCTCTGCTGCTATGAGGGCCATTTAGATTATATTATAATATATTTAGATTTAGATTATAGTTGATACTCTTGTGTGCCCGGGCATATGGCAAACAATGCAACCATAAAGCAGAAGAGTTGATAAGTAACTCGTGGGCCATTAGGAGGCTTCTGAGTGATAAGGACTGGGGAGCATGAGGAGCCAGGGTGTCTACGCTTCCTGACCTGGCATGCCTCCCACAAAAGATCTTTAAACCCTCGCAGGAATCCCCTAAAGTCATGCACAGGGACTTTTGGCACAGCATAAAGTGGAACAAAAGGAGTACTGACGTATTTCATCAAGAATATGTTAGAACCGGATCCTATTTTTCTTCCTGGAGACACTGTGTTATGCTGTGGCAGAGTTTTAAGTTGCTGGAGTACAGGCCTGTTGGAAAATTCTAGGCACCTCTTTGGTTTGACTAACAGAATGGATACTGTCATTCTCCTCACTGGGTCTTGTGTGTTTCCTGCCCTCTCTGCTCCTCCCAAGTTACGCTGATTGAATGGAATTCAGTGGGTTACCAAGCAAGGTTTTTAAAACAACCAATGACCACCGATGGTTTAGCTTCCAGGCCTCAGAGCTGGGAGTAGGGGCTGTGATTTTAATATCAGACAAGACAAAAGTCAAGCAGACACAGCATGAAACACGACAGAGGGCCGTTATATGTTACAGTCTACAGCAAAGATGGGGCAGCACTAAGTGTCCTGCTGTGGGGGCTGGAGAAAGCCCATCTGCCCTGTAGTCCAGGAACCATGGGATCAGAACAGAAATGGTCCAAGAACACCATCGGCAGAGGAAGCACCACTGAGATAAGAGAGGCTAAGTGGACAAAACCTATTTACATATTTACAGAGTATAATCAGAAAGCCCAGCGTATGGTTACGTGGATGAGGCTCTAATCCCGAAATAACACAACCTCTTCATTAGCAGCATTTAATGGTGTATTTGTTTCCAGAGAAAACAGCAAATCTGTAAAGTGGAAATGTTACTGTCACTTTATGATCAGGCTTGACAAAACCAGGAACTGTTGACATTTAAAAGAACAACAAATCAGTGAGATGGCTCAGGGGGTAAAGGCACTTGCCACTCAAGCAGGGCAATCTGAGTTCCATCCCTGGAATCTGTATGTAAGGTGGAGGAGGCAGGGATCCACAGTCTTGCCCTCTGACCTCTGTGTCCATGCCATGGCACATGTGACCCCACCCAATACGACAGTAGTAACCTAGAAAACAATAGAATTGGGTGAGATGGACACATTCCTCAGAAGACAACAGCTCCATGGGATCATCCCAGCAGAGACTTAGGCCAAAGGATGCCGGGCAAACGTTCTGAGAAGCAAGCCCGTCAGAGTCCCCATGCTTAGAGCATCCGGGAGTCCTGAAAGGGCTCCACACACCAAGTAGTTCTCACGCTACAATGGCTGCTCTGGAGGAAATGACAGAAAACCCACAGGTCTCCCCAAGTGGTGTCACACGGGAGATGCGGGCATTGAAGTCATAGATCTTCAGAAGAAAATGTAACAGGAAGTGTTTGTGCCTTGGGTTAGGCAGATGTTATTAGGCAGGACACAGAGAGTGAGTCACACACACATGCACACACACACACACACACACACACACACACACACCTGGATTTCATCAAAATTAGGATTTATTCTTTGTCAGAGAGTGCCAAAGTAAACAGAAGAACCAATCATAGACCAGAAAAAAATATCTGCTCAGCACACAGTGATAGGAGACTTGTTTGTTTCACGGGTGTAGGCCTGGCCTGGCCTGTAACTTGCTCTGTAGCCGCCTCCCATCCTCATCCCCTCAAGTACATGGATTCCAGGGAGAGCCACCACACACAGCTGTATGCGGGATGTAAGAACACGGGCCAGCAAAACAACTAAGCACCTGATTAAAAAGCTGGGCTTGGCAAGACAGCTCAGTCGGGAAAGGTGCTTGCTGCCAAGCCTGAGGACCTCAGTTCAATCCCCAGGACCCACATGACGGAGGGCGAGAGCCAACTCCCCTAAGTGTGCCCCCCTGAACTCCACATACCTGCCCTGGTATATGCATAACCAAATAAAAATAAAGTTTTTAATGTTAAGAAAGTAAAAATGAACTATCTAGACTACCAGACTACTGCTAAACACAAACCCCCTAAAAACAAACAAACAAACAAAATAAGGTCATGCGATGTTCAACACCATTTGCTAATTGAGAAAAGTGTGTTAAGATAAAAGGGGGCTGTGCTGTCACACATACTGATAACACCGAGGGCTGGGTGAACACAGAGAGCATCCGGTCCCCTCACCCATTGGTGATGGGCAGGAGAAATGGCGCAACTTCCCCCATCCTGACTGATAAAGTTCAACATACCCCAAAAAATGATGGGCATTTATCCTAGAGATCAATTACCAAAGTAAGTCCAAAGATTCGACCAGGGGATCCTGGCAGCTTCCTTTCTAACGAGGGAACAACTGTGAGAAAGAGCAGTCACACAGCAGGATACAAGGACAGGAAGCTCTGAAAGAGGTGGAGTCAGAAAGAAAACAAGTTGATTATTTGGTTCTTGGAGGGGCAGGCAGTAGACAAAGGACATCAAGATATTTGGGGCGGGAGCCGAGGGAGGGCAAAATGACAGTCTATTCTTGACTAAAATAATATTTACACAATTGTGTGTATTTGTAGAACTTGCTGAATTTACTTAATTTTTATTAGTTTTGTTTTTGAGACAAGGTTTCTCTCCATATCCTTGGCTGTCCTGGAACTTGCTCTGTAGACCAGGCTTGGTCTCGAACTCAGAGATCTGCCTGCCTCTGCCTCTCGAGTGGTGGGAATTAAAGACATGAGCCACCCCACCCCACCACTGGTGCTTTCTTAAATGTGCATGACTCACATATTAAAATATCTGATTTTAGATAAAACTGCATGGTATAACTATTACCCTTGTGAGTTCCCCTCGTAAAAAGGCACTGGGTTGGAGGCATGCTGCTCCCTGAATTGGCCAGCAGAGGGCACCAAAGAACGGTGGTTGCGAAGTGGGATAGACCAGGCAGGACCCGCCCTTCAGCTTTTTTTTTTTAATTTTTATTGTGCTACATGAATATCAAACAATTACTGAGTACTGAGCAATAAATAAATAAATAAATATGGGGGTAACTGGCCATGACTCTTTGGGGGAAAACCTGGCAGTTATGACTGCGAACTGTGTCCTGTCCTCGGAGCCTTCAGGAGGCCCAGTGGGGGTGGGGCGGGTCCCTTCCAGCACAGCTGCGCAGCAAGGTGATTCTCCTTTTCCAATCTTTAAGACTAACCTGGAAGTCGGAGTTGTCCCGTGGACAGCGGGGACTCCTTCTTAGGGCTGTTTCCACAGGCACGGGGGTCTGGGGAAGCGGGAGGAGCTAGAAAGGGTGACAACCGACAGTATTGAAGGGCAAAGGGGGGCTGTGGCCAGGAAGAAGGATCACATGGGCAAATCCAGACCCACAGAGCCAGGGCAGGTGAATTGAGGCTCTCAAACCCCTTGTTCACAGTCTGCTAATGGCTGTGAGACCACCAGGCACCACCACCTTTGCTGCTTCTCAGAGATACCCAATGGGATCTCAGACACAGTGGAGACCTCAGAAGGTAGTGACACCGAAGGACAGGCAGAGAAGGCAGATGCCACTGAGGGATTGAGAACATTTGAGGGGGCGGGGTTAAAGGGAAAGAGAGGCCTTTTTTGTTGTTGTTTTGTTTTGTTTTGTTTTTTGTTTTTGTTTTTTTTTTTTTCATGAGACACTATTTGTCCAGAGCCAGGAGGAACCTGTTGGTGGCCCTCTGGGACAGGCAGAGGGAGACACAATCTGCACACTGCAAGGGGCCACACAATCAGCTAAGTCATAGGGTAGGGCAAGCAAGCGTTTTGAGAGACTGAGCTGGCTCCAAGCCTGTGACTGGTTTTATCTGCTCTTGTGTCCCAGTTATACACCTGAGCCTCTCCTGTACCACCAGGGCTCTTCTCTGTCCCATTCTTTCTGGCAGTTAATGACTTCCCATCACTAGCCCCATTCACAGGGCCAATAATAGCAATATGTTTTTTTCTGCTAGCTACCTGCCTTCTCATCTCCCTCAGAAACAGCTGCCTGAGGTCTCCAGGATGGCAGCAAACCGGATGTCACTCCAGCCACACCCTCGCTGAGCGGGAGCCCACAAACTCCCAGTGCTCCCCTCTCCCATGTTGCCCCATGCCCACAGAAAGTAGCCAGACTTGAGTCGGCACCTCTTTATCCAAGGAGTCTAAAATGTTTGGTTGAGAGACTTCACCCCAGCTCCCTGGCACCCCTTTATACACAAAGTCGGGATTATTTGGCTGGGGGCTTCATCCCAGTTCCTGGAATAAGCTCCCTCCCCTGGGAGTTGCCTCAGTCCAAACTCCACCTCCGAGAAAGCCTGCCAAATGGTGACCTCTCCCCAGGGAGGGTCACAAAAGCCTGTGAAATGGTAACTCTTCCCCAGGGAAGGTCAAGACCACTCCCACAGGCTGTTTAAACAGAGAATGAACAGAATAAATCAGAGAATGAACACTGGTCTCCAGGTTACCCGTGGTCTCCCCTTCTCTCTCTTTCCCTCTCCATGTTTTCCTCCAGCCATCCAGCAGTATTGTCATTCATTAAACATGGGCGTCTTTTAATTTGGTCTGATTTGGATTTGGAGAGGTTTGTTGGCCAGAAGAAAAATACGTAACACACATCAGGAAGAGGAGGCAGTCAGTGGACAGTCAACCATGTCAAAAGTGAGCAGTTTGCTGAGCATTTAGTAAAGTGAAGGGTTTGGGGAGCTGTAATTAGAGATCACGTGTTACTCCTACAGGGTCTGACGTCAGAGTCCACCGAGCTCTGTAAAGAGACCCGAGTGTGGAGAACCATAGCACGGTGAATTCTCACGTCCGCATGGAGTGCCCTAGCAGTGTCCAGTGGCTTGCTGCTCCCAGAGGGCATGAAAAGGTGTTAAAACGATACCTCCGACTCGTGTGCCTATGCACACCTTCACACACTGTCACTCACACATGCACACACCAACGTATTCATAAGCATGCACACTTGTGCACACACATAAGCACATGCATGGATGGTGTGTACGCATACCCATGTACACACCGTGTATTCCACCCAAGCACACACACACACACACTCCCACACATACTCACACACGCACATACACACTGCCATCATACGTCTGCCTCAATGAAACCCAAATACAATTCGCCAGGTTTAAAAGGTTTTCTTTATTGGGAAAAATGCTGAACCTAGCCACGGCTAGGCACAGGGTCAGGATGGTTTAAGAAAACCCAGAAATCGATGGAGTCTGATTAAGACTTTCTTCTTCTGGCTTGCAGCTCCCAGGGAAGCTGTGGCTGGGCAGCTGTACCTCTCAGCTCTCAGTAATGACAGTCTAGAGGTGGAGAAACAGGGGGGTCAGTAAGCATGCCAAGGGGCCCCCGAGTGCCTGCGCTCAGAAGTGTGGCCGACTCCGAACCGACAGGTTCGGAGGGAGTACAGAGTGGGACAAGGATGACACCCAAGCCTCAGCGTTCTCTGCGGACCTGTTCTCCCCAAACCACGAGCAATTTCTCAGGAGGACCTGCTGACCAGCATGTGTGGCCACACAACCAACCGCTGGGGGCGGGAGGGGGGAGAGGCTCGATCAGTGAAACGCCGACTGCACGTGCCTGAGTGTCTGAGTTCAGATCCCCAGAACCCACAGAAACAGGCTGGTGTGGTGGGGCATATATAACCCTCGTGTTGGCAGTGGGCGGGGTGGAGATGATAGACAGCGCTTGGAGCTCACTGCCCAGCCAGTCTCGCCTCAGCGAACTCTAAAGAGAGACCCCCGTCTCAAAAGCTATCGTGGAGAGGGGCTAACTCTGGCCTCCACACACCTGTGAACACACGCACATACACGGGAGGGGCTCCCAGCAGGTGGGAGTGGTTGGGAGCGGCTCATGCCAGACCCCGAGTGGACTCCCACCTGCAACCATTTACCTTCCACAGACTGTGGGAAGAAACACCAGGGCACCTCGAAGACCAGGTCAGAGAAGCAGCACTTTCTAGAGGCACACTCCTCGGGGCTGATACCCGGGAACCCACAGTCCTCGCGGGCTGACACTTCCATGACACACTGCTCCTCTGCTGCTCACGGGAGAGAACAGCATGCAAGGCTCTGTCAGGCTGGCCGATCACTGAGAGCCACCAGTCCCGGGTCCCCCGAGACATTGGATTCGCAGCCTCCGTGTGTCCCGAGAAGCTCCTTGGGTTGCTATCTCTCAGGACAGTAATAGCTAGGGACTGGCTATCCTTCCCACAGGAGGACGCTAAGGTCGGGAGGTGATCACAGGTGGGAGCATCTGCAGAACCGGAACCTTGGGAAAAACCATGTCACCCTTTCCGGACCCAGTGTTCAGCTCCGTGAATTGTAAGCCGACCACTGAACCAGAAGGAGGCTTGAGGACACTGATCCCGGAAGGGATCTTGCACCCACCTACCTGGTTTTCCTTTAAAGTGCACTGGACACTGGGGAGGAAATTCCCCACCGTGAGTGTGTCCCAGGGGCAAGGGCCATGCCTGTGGTGGGCACACACACACCGCTAGCCTCGTGCATGCCTGTATTCAGTTTGGCTTGGCTTGGAACACATTTCAAAAAACGCTGCCGGAAGCCTCAACGCCCTTCTTAACGTCTGAAGTCTGTTTGCAGGGATGGTAATGTCATCTCAGCTGAGGCCTCCATTTCCCTTTGGAAGTTTCTTTAGAATTATGGTTTTAAATCTGGCGGGGTGGAGGCACTTGGGTCTGCTCACGGGCAAGGGTAGATGCAGGGCAGGGTGTAGGGTGGAGGAGGGGGACCGGTGCTAAGCTGACAGCTGGCAAGAGGTCCCGATCACCAAATTTACCTTGGTTTGGAAGTGGGTGGAAACACCAGGGGACCCCACCGACGCTGGAGTCAAAGCAACAACCATTATCAAAACACTCCTCGCTGGTGATGCCTGGGAAGCCACAGTTCTTTCTGTTCTCCGGTGTCATCCTGGAGCACTGGCAGGCAGCTGTGGACAGATCCATTCATGGTTAGTCCTACCCGGGGTGCTATATGCTTGCCCCAACCTGCTCTGGGACCTCAGGGACCTTCTAAAATCTAATGACCAAAGGAATGACATGGAATCTTATTTTCCCATGTCTGATGTCCTCCTGAGGAAACCACAGACTTTTGTTGAAACAGCTTCATTTGTTTAAAAAAAAAAATGAAAGAAAGAAACAAGGTCACACAAACCTTCTGTAAAAATGATGACCTTGTGGGCCTGGGCAAAGATTAAGGTAGAATGTGACCAAGATGGCCCAGGGCAGCAGGTCCTTCTGTCCTTCTAACCAGGCTGACACCTGTTGACATGGCCCTTCTGAATAAGGGTCGCTGGGTGCACTTCACACAGCAGCACCCAGACTGTAGGGTGCTATTTAGCTCCTTGCATGTTGTCACCCTGCCTTTGTCCTTTGAGCAAACATATGGAAAAGCCCCACCTAGTATAGGTGATGGATGAACCCCAGCCCACCACTCATGCGGACGCATGTAGTTTCACCTCCCACCCACGGGGTCACCCACAAACTTCTACTTACAAGGTTTCTGGCCCTCCACCAGAGCACACAGCCCCAAGACAAGGACCACTGCCAGGAGAGGGATACCTCGAGGTCTCATGTCTACTCCACTGTTCCTGGGAAGTCTGCAGAATGCCCAGTTGCCACTGGCTAGTGTTTTATTAGCTCCTGTCTGTTTGCTCAATGGGCCCTGATAACCACCCCCTACCAGTGGCCCCAGCCCTCTGGATCCTTTGTGCAGAAGAGCTGACAGCGCCACGTGGAGGCCTGGAGCCACACAAGGCTTTCAGGTTGGGTCAGGCTGGGCCCCATAAGAACAGCTGTCTCTGGCCTGCATCAGGAAGCAGGGTCTTGCCAGGCTACTGACGTGGGGGAAAGGGCCACGTGTGCAGCTGGGGATGAACACCCTCAGGTCACACCCAGGAAGGGATTAGCCATGGGTTACCCTGGATAAAGTTTGTGGCTATCATACAAACATCTGGTTTAAAAAAATATATTCGGAGTAAGGCTATTGGGAAAAGAACATTCCATCCAAGAGCCTTTGGAGGAGGGAGCAGGGAACATCTCACAGGACTGTGTGAGGCACCTCCAGGGTACCTAGTTTGCACTCCTGATGCAGAGCACACCCTGCCTCCCCTTGTTTCCTGCCAGCTCAAAAACTGTGGTCCATAGAGACTAGTTGGCGGGGTCCAAAGGAACAGTTGGAACAGGCAGCTTTTTTTTTTTATGAGCCCTGAAGATGGACATTCTCTCCCATGGGAGTATTTTGTATTCCCTCAGATAGTGCCCAGCACTGAGATGCCCACAGCGAGCTACTCTGAAGAAGGACTCTGTAAATCGGACACAGAGAACAGAAGCCAGGGAATTATAGCAATACAAAAGAGAAATGGCAGGGTGAAGGAGAGAGGGCCCGTGGATGTATTCCTTGAGACTGGAGGGACCTACCTAACTGTGGGTGGCAGGCTGCAGAGTCAGGGACCACAATACAGAACCTGAAAGTCTTGGCCTCATCCCAGGCCTACATCCTTATTGCCTGGCCTGGATCTTACCCCTCGGTCCCGAAAACCCAGCAGGAGACATTTCTCTGTAGCATACCCCAGTCATTCTTTGTCATTCTGCTTGTTAGGTTTTTGTTGTTGTTGCTGCTGCTTTGTTGTTAACTTGACACAAGTCAGGGTCACCCCATAGGAGGAAAACGTGGTCCTGGGTTGTATAAGACAGCAGGCTGAGTGAGCCATGGGGAACAAGTCAGTGAGCAGCGTTTCTCCATGGTCTCTGCTTCGGTTCCTGCCTCCAGGTTCCTGCTTGGAGGTCCTGCCCTGCCTTCCCCCAGTCACTGACTGCCGTGGGATGTCAGTCAAGCAATCCCTTTTCTGTCCAAGTTTCCTCGGGCAGCAAACTAGGACTGTCATCAAATTTACACGCTTCTCCATCACTTGCTATCCAGAACGTCCCCATTCCTTCCTCCTCTCAGGCCCACATCCTAACCCGACTCCCCTGGCCCTGCCAGGGCTTCTGCTGAAGTCACCTACCCGGCTCGGCTGCTCCCCTTGAGCATCCTCCCATGCCCCTCTAGAAGCCTGTGCTCTGCCGATAACAACTCGCATCAGTTGTGAGGGTGGGGCTGTGGGTACTGTGAGCAGCCCTCTGCTCCATGTGAAGCCGAGGGTACCGTACAACAATAGATGGCCATGTCTGTGGAATCAGACCATGGTCCCACCGCGGAGGCTCAGATGGTCTCAAGGCTGCAGTTTCCACGTTTGCAAAAGCTGGTGGGTGCTGTGGGGTGCAAGCTCTGAGCTGAACCACATCTATTGCACCTACCCCAGTGGGGTCCCCCTAGCCTGTCTCCCGTGTCATGAACATTCTCACTGGTCCAAAGCTTGGGACCATCTTAAACAGCTTTAGTGCTCTAGGCATGTCACATCCAGCCTCATGGCTGCCCAGCTCCGTATCTTCCGTACCTTCTTCCGGACTCTGGCACTTTCCCCTCCCCTCTCACTTAGAACCTGAACTCCATGAGGACAAAACACGGGTGTCTTTTCAGTTCCACATGCTCTCACTTCTAGCACTTTCTCTATGGCTACTACAGCTATCACTCCCTCTAAATGGGAGAAGCTAAACTATCCCTCTGTCTGCACCCCTTCTCCTCTAGCCCGGCTTTCACGGGACTCACATCGCTCTGCCGCCCTGGCTGCCTCCTACCTTGGGGTTCACACCTGCTCCAGAACTTGGTAGTACAAACCTCACGCTGCTGCTCCCATGCATGCTCTCAGACCGGCCATGACTCTGCAGTAATGTGATTCCTCTCTTCTCTTCTCTTCTCCTTCCCCTTCATCCCCTTCCCCCCCCCCCCAGGGGTGATGGTGTCTTATCTATTCAGGAATAACGAAGGGCAGCTCCTTGGGTCAGCCAGGCATCTCCTTCTGACCACACAGCAAGGAATCCAGGCCAGCCTCTCTGGTACAGGACTCTAAAACACTGTCAAACGACAGGGATGCAGAGGAGGGGAGCAACAAGGCAAATCCCCCACAGCCGTGGAGAAAGGGATATAGTTAAGAAAAATTGGACCAAAGAAAACCCTAAAACTAGTCTGTGTAACATCTTTACACCTGGCGCCAAGGCACCTGGTGTCATCCATCACTGGGGTGCTAATAGGATTGGGCAGCCCATCTAATGGCTCTACTACTTAAAGCACACATATGTCCTCTCTTGGCTAACAGCGCTCCTTGGCAGACAGTCCACGTCACTAACATCTCCAACCTTGAGGTTCTCCACTGTGACTTACATTTCCCCATCACCAGCCCCCTTATTAACCCCTTGGGGCCTGTCTTCAGAGACATCTGCCTGGTCTCATGGCTTTTCCCCTGCAAACTTGGAGCAAGCCTCCACAGCCCCATGACTCTTACATGCTTTGCTTTATAATATGAACAAGGCATTGGTCTGCTGCCAGAATAATATGGAGCCATGATCTCTGGGACTACTGCTACATGAGCCCCACGTGCCTGCACAACTGAACCTGGGAACTGTTTGCTAGCACGGCTCTGTCTGGACAGCAGGGCCTGGGGACTCTCCTGTCAGCTACTCCCTTTGTAGGGCCTCTTCTTTCTAAAGAAAGCCTTTCAGGTGGGTTTGTAATTTCACACTCAGGAATATTTGGGGGGTGGGATCCTGCCTGTCAGTCACCTTCTCTATTGTTCCAGTGTTGAGGGAGGTCCTCCCACTCCTCCAGCCTATAGCTGCTGAGATACCAGCCCACTGGGGCGTGGTCTCTCTCCCTTTAAAAAAGTGGCCACTTCCCTCTCCTCTCTCTCTTCACTTCCTGCTCCGCCGGTGACTAGACTCCCTTCCTGGTTGCATAGAGGGCTGTTGCCTGGGACAGTGATCTGTAAGTTTTTTCCCCTTTAAATAAATAACACCCTATTAATCATAATTCCAAACTGGTGTGGCATTGTTTGTGACTTACGCCTTCATTTTGGCACCCGACGTGATGGACTAAACCCACTTAAAAAACCTGAGAAGGCTTAAAAATAAGGGAGAGAGAGTTTAACACAGATTTTTGCTGTTTGTTGGTGGCGTGCTGTAGAGATATTTCCTGATTCGACAACAGTAGCAGAAAAAACGCTGTGTCATTTTAAAGCGCGACTTCCTGGGGCTGTGCCGCCATTGCGATCTCTGTCTGGCTCCTGCAGGAGACAGAGCTTTTGAATAGAGCATTTGGAGTAAAGTGCTATGATTTGTTTGATGGCAACTAGACTCTCTGTGTTCTCAGGTCTGCTTTGCTTGTTAGAGGCAAGCAAGCGCTCTCATCTAAGAGAGGCTTCCTGACTCAACTTTAGCTGCAAAGCTTGCAGCTCTTTTAAGAGGTCCTGCCACGAAACACTTAAACAGTGTTGACAAAAAGCTGAACGCATGCTTTTCGGTTTTCAGCCGTAACAGGAAAAAAGCTGCGCCGTTTAAAAATGCCAGCTTTCTGGGCTGTCCTGCCAGGGCCAACTCTGACTCTTTTACGCAGGCGGTTCGTGCGGTTTGCAAGCACAGGCTGCTGAAGCTCACTTGCTGGCAGGGACCTTGAAATGCCATAGAGTTGTGGCAGTAAACATGGCTACAGCCAGTACCTCAGCCATGAGGCTGGAAAGCTAAGGAATGGGCTACATCTAGCCGGCAAAGCCACGCCTTTAATCCTACTGATATTGCTTGGTAAATTAAAGACTCATGTGGTCAGAAAAAGAGAGATATACAGTAAAGAGAGATTCAAAGACAAAGAAAATTTTTAAATGGTTTACAGTGTGTTAAAAATATATGCAAACTAAAAGTTGAAGTTCTTAAAGTAAAAAGCAAAAAAAAAGGAAGAGAGTTGTTGTGTGTGGTAGTACACACCTTTAATCCCAACACTTGGAAGGCAGAGGGAGATTGACCTCTGTGACTTCAAGGTGTGGTAGCACACGCCTTTAATCCCAGTGCCTAGAAGGCAGAGACAAAAAGATCTCTGTGAGTTCAAGGTGTAGTAGTGTACACCTTTAATCCCGAATGCCTGGGAGGCAGAGACAGGCGGATCTCTGAGAGTTCAAAGACAGCCTGGTCTACAGAGTTACTTCAAGTCAAAGATACAGAGAACCTGTCTCAAAAAGCAAAGAGTTAAAAGTAAAAATAAACAAAATAGAGGTTAAAACAAAGATGGAAAATACACAGAGAATTTTGATACTGTATGCTATTATGCTCTCTTTAAATTATTTAAATGCTGAGGAAGGAGCAACAGATGCTAAAAGATATTTATTTATAAATGCTGCTGAACTAATCCAACATAGATATTTTGATGCCTTGACTTTGAAATTTGGGTCAAAGGACATGATGCTTTGGAAAGGAGTTTCTTATTTTGTTTTCACAGAGGATGAGACCCTGTTCATTTCTTCTATTCCGATTTGGTATGATGGACCATGCCCTCCTGAAGGGTTGTTGTGAACATCTTCAGAAAATTGCTTCGTTCAACTGCCAACTGAGATGAAACTAGCACACAGGTTATACCGTGAAAGACCTAATTAACGACGCCCCCATTCAGCAGGAAGCAGTTTGGAGAGAAAAAACTGCGCCCATGTTCCC